TATTCCATATCCATATGGTTAAACAAATACCTTCCGATAGAAATCAAAAGTGTACCTCCAATATCAATTGCAAACTTTTTCAAATACGTTTTACAAAATTGTTTTTACTCTTGCTGGCCCTCATTGGTTTGATTTTTGTTAATGTATCCACACCAGGGCCACATCAGTCTTAATAGGGCACACCGTAAAAAAGTTCAGATCAGGTATCTGCGTTAGAGTTATATCAGACTGTATAGGAAAAACTGTTAACGAGTTGAATCAAGTATCCACATCAGAGACAGTCGTAAAAGGGTTTAGAAGAAGGTTTCCGCATCAGGGTCAGATTAGACTAAACAGGGAATACTACTGTCGAGTTGAATTGAGTATCCTCATCAGAGCCAGTAGTAAAAGGGTTCAGTCAAGGTATCGACATTAGGGACAGATCGAACTAAATAGGTTTGAATTGAGTAGCAGAGCCAGTCATAAAACTGTTTAGATAAGGTCTCCATGTTGACGCCACATCAGTCTTAATAAGGCATGGCGTAAAAGGGTTTAAATAAGGTCTCATCAGTCTTAATAAGGCATGCCCTAAAAGAACATAACAGATAGATTATGAGTTTAAGGGTTAGATCAGGCTACATAAACCATAGATACGGTTAAAGATTTGAAATAGGCCATTCTCAACAGGGCTATATCAGTCTTAATAGGGAATGTTTTAAAGACATTGATATAGGATGGTCACGTCAGGGTAATGTCAATCTTCATATGACATGGGGTAAAAGGGTAGCATATCCGTATGAAGGTTAAATCAGGCTAGAAAGGCAAAGATACCATTTAAGATTTGAAATAGAGTATCCACATCAGGGCCATCTTAGTCTTAACAGGGAATTTCGTAAAAGGATTCAGATACAGTATCTATATAAGGACTAAAAAGTGAAATGGTTATGCTGGTTAATGCCTGATTGAGGTCATATATAAAATGGAAAGGAGAAGTCCTAGTAAAACAGAATCTGGTCGGGATAGTGCCTGTCTTGACAAATTGCCAGTCAGTAGGACGAAACAGAAAACGAAAATGCAGAGCAGATACCCACATAGAGGAAGAAATTTTGACTAAACATACATACAATTTAGACATTTATTAGAAGTGAGTTAGTTTAATAAGAAATATTATTCTGAAAATTCATTTTTTTTTTACCCACTACACGCTACCTCAAATTAATGAGGGAAAAATTGTTGCCGGCGGGGGTGTGACAATTTCGATATTCATTATACAGTATTTTAAGAGTTTCGCGTCAATAAAATGTAGACAAAGTCGGCGACTCCTGTACAAGCAGTTGTATACAACATTTCCCGTTTTCGACGACCAACTTTTGCAAGTTGGATTATTAAGTATCGGTAAAAGTGTATTCTCCCTGTCGCACGAGTTGACACTTTAAAATTTAAAGGCGCATTATATGCTCCGAGTACAGGCACCATGGAATAACTTAACGACGGTTCTACCCCGTTATATTATTCTACAGCGGTTTCGGTAAAATTCAGACATGCATTCCATTGAACTGGCTTCTAACTGAGGTGGATGGGCACGACGAACCCCGCACGTCAGTAAAACTACCCTACTGCCTGTTCCTCACCTCTACACTTAAGCATCGTTTAAACAGGTTTCAAATCTTAAAACTTTTTAACATGAAATACAATTATTGTAACTTCAGTTTTGTGCCAAGCTGTTTATGATTTATGAAGATAAATGACACTTTTAAAATTATTAAATTCCTTTTTGCAAAATTAGTATCTTAAAAATGCAAATTTAATATTCGTTCTACGTTGTAGATCATAATTTACGATGTTTTCGATCGAAAAGTGACGACAACAAACTTTTCCCAAACTTAAAGCGTTGTCAAGCTTGAGACGTAATAAACTGACACGATTTTAGATAATCCCTAAACTTTTAAACTAACCAACAAACGACGGCATCTGTCTATCTAAGGCGTCACGGCGCACCCCTTTAAAGAATTGCCGTCACGAGAACGAGATATTTCGTGTAGGAAATGTCCAAGTGAACTGATAGGCTATAATGCTAAAAAGTAGAACGAATAAGACACAATTTAATTGATCGACAAAAAAAAATATCAACTTAATCATCACGAATACAGTAACAAAGTGAAGTTAAATACAAAATCCAAGCCCTTGAAGTAGGTTTTCATTTAGATTAGAGCCCACAAACTTAGTATTGAATGATCTCATTTGTAAGAAGATTATTTTCTGATTTCTGATCTTATACAATGTAACTCATCGTTCTTCAATTTTGACGATACACCCAATCCTGACTTCAACCCCTCAATTTCTTTAAAATTGCTCTTTACAACAATAACTCGAAATTTTTACAAAAATCACCGTTTAAGAAGTGAAATCCACGTCAAAATCCACACAGTATTTTTCATCAAAAGTCGCTAGCATCAAGTACACAATAAATGAAGACCCAAATTTTTTTAATACAGCTCAACTTATTACAGAATTTCAACTTGGCAAACATTCTAACTTAAAGTATTAAGGGTGGTTTACAACGGGTCTGAATGTACCTGCCTGCCTCAAAAACAAAATAATTTTTTTTTGTGTCCTTATTCTTTCGTCTTGACATTATTGTTAACCGTAAGAACTAGACAAAGACCGACTAAAATACAAAAACTGATTTCATTCATCCGTCTTTCACGTTCCAGAAGTTCAAGTTCGAAATAATCCAGATTCAGCGTTCACACTTGAAATGAACGCAACAAATAGACCAAACAAATGAAGGAATGGTGTTTATTATAATTCTGACATCTTGTAGTGCTGCGTACGATGCTAAATGGCGTCTGTAATGGACGCGTAAATTAGCACTTTGTATTTTATTACCGCCAACCGGCGGACCGCGTATTATTTGTGCTACCGTTCGTTCGTATTGGACCGGCACATTCATCAACAATCAAAAATCAATTTTATTTACAATTAAACAATAACTCACAATGTATTATGGTAATATACTTTTATAATCTGCACATACTATAAACTGAAAACTACTCATCCGATTTCAAAAATTCTTTCAATATTTAGACCAGACTTTCAGGCTGTATATTATTCCGTTGAAGTAAAAAGGCTAATTAATGTTATATTATTAGACGTACACACACTTCACAACTAATTATTTACAATATCTTCTAAACTTTAACGTTTTTGTTATCATAAAAAAAAACAGAAAAGAAAACAAAAATTAAAATTGGTATAGAGATGAGGTAAGATAAAATATCTCTAATAGCTCAATTTTGTGAATTGTATTATAGCGATGGGCTGTTTACAATTTAATAACAAACACGTGACATTATGTACTTTTATCAGTTGTATTTCGATTAGACCACCAGTGGTTCTTGTTTACTTTTGCTACCAAATTGCAGCAAACTGATAAGGTTTTCAAAACAAGGTAGGCTTGAGTCTATATGTTGTGAGTCGAAAAACTAAGACAATTAAAACTGTAAAAATAATGCGCTTTGTACTTTTGGGATACAGCCAAACTTTCTGCGCGTATGACTAATAAATATTTAGCTACTTAATACTAAGCATTTAAATATGAATGTGACGAAAATATAAGTACCTAATTATTGTTTAACCATTGGATGTAGATAGGTAGGTACTAAATAATTCAGGTATCTATTAATTCTGCTAACGAGGCTTTTCAATCAAATCAACTGCAGTAATTCAAAAAACGTTATGAAAAACTATTTATTATGAAATTACGAGAGACAGCAGTCTCTTATCTAACAAGCGTGTAGGAGACACGTCTTTTTCGATTACATTGAACTGCATCTTGTTAACCTTGGTTGGGTCATCGGCCAGAGCCGGCAAGATTTCAGGAATTTGTATATAAACGCAGGTATTTTATTGAAAATTTACAGTGGCTTTCTTGCCAAAAAATAATAATATCAAGGACATCAGACCTTTTATATTATGTATGTTTTGTGGCGGCGTGAGAAACGGCGGTGAATCACAAAGAGCAAAACACACTTGCTTCCACTTCCGATTACAAAAAAAAAAACAAAACTATAGGCAACACACTGGCTTCCGATTGATCAATTCCGAAAAACGTATTATTATTTAAAATTAATAACACCTCGAAAATCAAATTCCAATTAAAAATGCTTAAAGAGTTGAAAACATAACAGAAAAAGGTAGCAGCATACGATGAAAAAATTAAAAAATTCCTGCAATGTCTTCGGGTACAGGCAAGCAGAAATTTTTTCGGCCTTATCTATTTGCATCGACTATTTATAAACAAAAAAAAATACAGTTGATAACATCATTAAATAGAAACGTTACCATTGGCTTTGGCGCTGCCAAGCACGTAAATGTTTTAAACATGTATGATGAACTAGAATTCAATTAAAAGGAAAGCGCCATGGAAAGACACAGAAGATCAAGGACTTACTCTGTTATTTCCTTGGTCAGTTTCTGTCCTTTGCCGCTTATTATGAGGTCCATCTCCATTGAACGCCATTTTGCAGTAACACTAAAACACTTACGATATCGTCTTCACACAATTACAGCACGAACGAAACTGACAGATTTTCTGTTTTCGTTTTCTGTCTTCAATAATAGCTCTCTTCGTTCAGCTGTTTTCATGCTGCGCCATCTACAAACGGAAAGTCAAAGATTTCGTAGCATTTCCTTTCAATTGGTTAATTTCTGTCAAGTTATTGAGCGGTAATTTTCTTTTTTTGAATCTGATAAATCCATTGAAGTCCCACGTCATCTATCAGTTTACTTGTAGTGAAAATCTCTTAAATCTACTAAAAATGTTCCTAATTTAAAGTAAATGTAATAATACATTTCACAGATATTGACAAATCATTTTCTTCATTATGTCATAATTAATAAAAATCATAATTTTCTTTAACTTCACTGACATACTTGACGTTGTCAACGAAATACTTTGCATAGCAGCAGATTTAGTATAATTATGGTTCGTATTCATAAAATGAGAGGAAATTAAAAATGTTTCTTATTTTTTTTATAGAAAGAAAGAAAAAGGAAAACTTTTGCCTCTAAATCTTCCACAGAAATGGGGCAGGAAATTAGTGAATGTATGTTATCCATAAAATCACTTTCTTTTTTTGTAGAAATCAGTAAATGCATTTATATTATTTGAACAGCAACGTTTAGTTTTTATGTTTAAATTGTAATAGATATCTTTAAAAATGAAATTTTCATTGAAATATGAAGGTAAGAATTCACTTTAACGAATAAATAGGAACAAGAAAAAAAATTTTTTCAATGGTCCGTTCATTTAGGGAAAGGTACAGCGTGGACGATGCGTGCAAACGAATATCGGTCGTAGGAGGATCCCCGGAATATGGCCGATCGTTTCCGATCAAAGCCCAATCGTAAGCCTCCGACGCCGTAAACAACTTCTAACAGTTACGCCCATTAAGCGAGTCCGCGCACATCGATCAGCTATAGTGTACCTTTCTCTAAGTAAATGGACTTTATCATTTGGCAGTTGTTCTTAATTTTAATCCCAACATGTCAAAAGGTTTTTCGACAGGTAAAGGACATGCCCTATAAAAGCCTTAATCTTAATCTTAATTTTTGCTTAATTGCTTACGATCAATGACTTTTTCATGTAGGTTTGATATCATATTAGGGCAATTTTAAGCCAATTCCAAGAAAAACCTTAAGCCATACTACTAGTGGTTCAAATCTACCACTAATTCCTTGCTCGCCTTCACAATGCTCAAATAAGCCGAGATATAACTCCCCAGGGAACAACAGCCTTATAGATAACAAGGAGAACTGTTCTACTTGGTTCATTGTTATCATGGTGCTTGCCGCCCTTCCCATGTTTTGTTACAAAACCACCCAAGGACCCTTCATGAAAATATTATCAGAATTTACAATCAGATGCGAAATACCCGAGCTAGAGTCGAAAGATTGGAATCCCGAACAAATTAGAAATATATCTGCTCCAACGTATGTCCGCATTGCACATTAGATTTTCTTATAAAACTCTGTCGTAAAAATTTTTAAAAAATTTGAAACGAAAAGATCATATTATCTTATTTAGAGATATGGTATCAGATAGCTGTTCAACTCTGAATATTGATTACAAAACCATATCACAAATGAGTTACCAAGATGCATTGAAGTATGTGAGAAATTTGCAAANAACAATAACTCGAAATTTTTACAAAAATCACCGTTTAAGAAGTGAAATCCACGTCAAAATCCACACAGTATTTTTCATCAAAAGTCGCTAGCATCAAGTACACAATAAATGAAGACCCAAATTTTTTTAATACAGCTCAACTTATTACAGAATTTCAACTTGGCAAACATTCTAACTTAAAGTATTAAGGGTGGTTTACAACGGGTCTGAATGTACCTGCCTGCCTCAAAAACAAAATAATTTTTTTTTGTGTCCTTATTCTTTCGTCTTGACATTATTGTTAACCGTAAGAACTAGACAAAGACCGACTAAAATACAAAAACTGATTTCATTCATCCGTCTTTCACGTTCCAGAAGTTCAAGTTCGAAATAATCCAGATTCAGCGTTCACACTTGAAATGAACGCAACAAATAGACCAAACAAATGAAGGAATGGTGTTTATTATAATTCTGACATCTTGTAGTGCTGCGTACGATGCTAAATGGCGTCTGTAATGGACGCGTAAATTAGCACTTTGTATTTTATTACCGCCAACCGGCGGACCGCGTATTATTTGTGCTACCGTTCGTTCGTATTGGACCGGCACATTCATCAACAATCAAAAATCAATTTTATTTACAATTAAACAATAACTCACAATGTATTATGGTAATATACTTTTATAATCTGCACATACTATAAACTGAAAACTACTCATCCGATTTCAAAAATTCTTTCAATATTTAGACCAGACTTTCAGGCTGTATATTATTCCGTTGAAGTAAAAAGGCTAATTAATGTTATATTATTAGACGTACACACACTTCACAACTAATTATTTACAATATCTTCTAAACTTTAACGTTTTTGTTATCATAAAAAAAAACAGAAAAGAAAACAAAAATTAAAATTGGTATAGAGATGAGGTAAGATAAAATATCTCTAATAGCTCAATTTTGTGAATTGTATTATAGCGATGGGCTGTTTACAATTTAATAACAAACACGTGACATTATGTACTTTTATCAGTTGTATTTCGATTAGACCACCAGTGGTTCTTGTTTACTTTTGCTACCAAATTGCAGCAAACTGATAAGGTTTTCAAAACAAGGTAGGCTTGAGTCTATATGTTGTGAGTCGAAAAACTAAGACAATTAAAACTGTAAAAATAATGCGCTTTGTACTTTTGGGATACAGCCAAACTTTCTGCGCGTATGACTAATAAATATTTAGCTACTTAATACTAAGCATTTAAATATGAATGTGACGAAAATATAAGTACCTAATTATTGTTTAACCATTGGATGTAGATAGGTAGGTACTAAATAATTCAGGTATCTATTAATTCTGCTAACGAGGCTTTTCAATCAAATCAACTGCAGTAATTCAAAAAACGTTATGAAAAACTATTTATTATGAAATTACGAGAGACAGCAGTCTCTTATCTAACAAGCGTGTAGGAGACACGTCTTTTTCGATTACATTGAACTGCATCTTGTTAACCTTGGTTGGGTCATCGGCCAGAGCCGGCAAGATTTCAGGAATTTGTATATAAACGCAGGTATTTTATTGAAAATTTACAGTGGCTTTCTTGCCAAAAAATAATAATATCAAGGACATCAGACCTTTTATATTATGTATGTTTTGTGGCGGCGTGAGAAACGGCGGTGAATCACAAAGAGCAAAACACACTTGCTTCCACTTCCGATTACAAAAAAAAAAACAAAACTATAGGCAACACACTGGCTTCCGATTGATCAATTCCGAAAAACGTATTATTATTTAAAATTAATAACACCTCGAAAATCAAATTCCAATTAAAAATGCTTAAAGAGTTGAAAACATAACAGAAAAAGGTAGCAGCATACGATGAAAAAATTAAAAAATTCCTGCAATGTCTTCGGGTACAGGCAAGCAGAAATTTTTTCGGCCTTATCTATTTGCATCGACTATTTATAAACAAAAAAAAATACAGTTGATAACATCATTAAATAGAAACGTTACCATTGGCTTTGGCGCTGCCAAGCACGTAAATGTTTTAAACATGTATGATGAACTAGAATTCAATTAAAAGGAAAGCGCCATGGAAAGACACAGAAGATCAAGGACTTACTCTGTTATTTCCTTGGTCAGTTTCTGTCCTTTGCCGCTTATTATGAGGTCCATCTCCATTGAACGCCATTTTGCAGTAACACTAAAACACTTACGATATCGTCTTCACACAATTACAGCACGAACGAAACTGACAGATTTTCTGTTTTCGTTTTCTGTCTTCAATAATAGCTCTCTTCGTTCAGCTGTTTTCATGCTGCGCCATCTACAAACGGAAAGTCAAAGATTTCGTAGCATTTCCTTTCAATTGGTTAATTTCTGTCAAGTTATTGAGCGGTAATTTTCTTTTTTTGAATCTGATAAATCCATTGAAGTCCCACGTCATCTATCAGTTTACTTGTAGTGAAAATCTCTTAAATCTACTAAAAATGTTCCTAATTTAAAGTAAATGTAATAATACATTTCACAGATATTGACAAATCATTTTCTTCATTATGTCATAATTAATAAAAATCATAATTTTCTTTAACTTCACTGACATACTTGACGTTGTCAACGAAATACTTTGCATAGCAGCAGATTTAGTATAATTATGGTTCGTATTCATAAAATGAGAGGAAATTAAAAATGTTTCTTATTTTTTTTATAGAAAGAAAGAAAAAGGAAAACTTTTGCCTCTAAATCTTCCACAGAAATGGGGCAGGAAATTAGTGAATGTATGTTATCCATAAAATCACTTTCTTTTTTTGTAGAAATCAGTAAATGCATTTATATTATTTGAACAGCAACGTTTAGTTTTTATGTTNGCCAGATGGTAGAAATACAGAAGAATTGACCGAAACCCGAATAACTGGCTAAATTTTTGCGGAATGATAGGTTGAAGTTCCGATAAAGCCGAATTACTGTCGGTACTTGAATAACTTCTCTTAACCCGTGCAACCGAAATCCCGTGGAGATCGTATATTCACATTCCTCGGCTTAATGCCGATTGGTAGAAATGGAGTAGAATAGACAGAAAACCGGACACCCGAGAAGGCTGAATTTGTACAAAATAATTGATTGGAATTTCGACCAAGTCGAATGGCTGTCGGCTCATTAATAAGCATTCCTGGATCGTGCACCGGAAATCTTGTGGGGAAACGTATATTTATATTCTACGGCAGAATCTTCGGCGGAATGCCGGATGGTACAAATACAGTAGAATAGACAAAAACTGGATACCCGGAAGGAATGAATTTATTCACGGTAGTTGATTGAAATTTCGAAGGGCTGCGGTTCAATAATAAGCTTTCTTAACTCGTGCACCGGAAATTTGTAGGGAACGTATGTTATTATTCTTCGGCGGAATACCGGATAACAGGAATAGAGTAAAATAAACCGAAAATTGAATACCCGACTTTACTTTTACAGAATAATAGTTAGATTGATCATGAACTGGCTCGCATGGCGTGATATTATCGATTTCGATGGTCTGCATGATTGGTTTCCTTGCGCGAGTTATTTCAGCGTAGTGTTTCCTTCCATGGTGGTAGGAGACTGGGTGGGAATTAATGTGGAGGTGAAGAAATATATCTGCTCCAACGTATGTCCGCATTGCACATTAGATTTTCTTATAAAACTCTGTCGTAAAAATTTTTAAAAAATTTGAAACGAAAAGATCATATTATCTTATTTAGAGATATGGTATCAGATAGCTGTTCAACTCTGAATATTGATTACAAAACCATATCACAAATGAGTTACCAAGATGCATTGAAGTATGTGAGAAATTTGCAAAAAATTGAAACGATACCGTGCAAAAATTTTGTCCATTATGGAAACATAACTTATGGAGTATATCAGGAGGTAAAGTCAATTTAACTAAAAAAGAATCAAACTAAAACTTGAAATGTAAACGACGTTTAGAAAAAACAATAGAAATGTTCTTACAGATGTCTCTTGTCTGTCACAAAAGAATTTTTGAGGAAATTTTAGACATATCTCCGCAGTATGGAATACTTTTTGGCCAGTTGTTTGTACTTCCTTTGGCCGACTTGTAAGTTAAATATTGAACAATATATTTAGAAAAATTCTCCCCCAAGCCATTCTTTCTAGATTTGGCAGGAAAAGGGTGATAAGATGGGGTTGGAACGCTCTCATTTTTAGCACGATTATGACTCCATCAACAACTTTTGTCGAAACCATTATTTTAGGGAGGTTCTTTGCAGGGGTCGGATTTTCCGCCATGTTCCTACCCGTGCAAGCAATTAGTCAGTTTTCCCGTAAATCATTACTTCACTAATACTTCCAGATAATTTACACTTTTATGAAATGATATAGGGTATGGTACAATTTCGTCCTGCGGTTAGAGAATGGTACTATTTCACCCCGAATGTTATAGAAAATACATATTACACATTTCTGATGTTAGACGCACATAAATTGGTGGTAAACATGTGGCAATGTTTTTTCAGCCACGTCTGTCTGATAATATCACCTTATTTGTCTATTGCTGGGATTGATATGCAATTGAGGTAGAATATGATGAAGGTCCAGCACTGAATGCTACTATCATTATGATTTTACCCGGTTTTAACTGTTGACCGCATTGCGGAATCGTACAACAAAATACCGTACCGATAATATTCTAGGAAAATCTTATCTTGTTAATCTATTGCTGGGGTTGATATGTAACCGAGGTCGAATAGTGTCATCAAAATAATAATATGATAAAGGTCCAGCACGGAATGGCACCATCAATAAGATTTTACCCGGTGTTAACTGTTGACCGCATTGCGGAATCGTACAACAATATACAATGCTGATAATATTCTCGGAAAATCTTATTTTATTAGTCTATTACTAGCGTTGATATGGAACTGAGGTGGAATAGTCTCATCAAAATAATAGCATCATGAAAGTCCGATACGGAATGGCATCATTAACAGTTTACCTGGTGTTACAATTGACCGCATGGTGGAATCGTACAATATACCATACCGATAAAACTTGTTAGTCTATTACTAGGATTGATAGGGCCTATTAGTACTGAATATAGTTTTTATTTTCTCGGAAAATTGTAGGATAGATATCCATTTGCTTTCGTTTAATTGGTTATTTACGATTCACATTTGATGCATTTTGTAGTTGTTGAAATATCCACTATTCGTAAGCGACCTTATCGATTTGTGATAACTTATATTGGTGCTGGACTAAGCTGGATTATAACACCATTACTGGTAAAGAATATCACACACTGGCGTTATTTGCATTGGGTTCTAGCCACCCCGCTTCTGCTAATACCGTTAATGATCTGGTAACCTAACTATCATTAATTATACAAATGACGTTGGACAATCTTAATTACTGTTATTATTCCTTATATTATCTCAAATCCCTATTTTACACATTTAGGGGTGGTATTCTAAAAATTCATTTTACTCAAAATTTGAAGTCACTAGACGTAGGGGTTTGAACTGTGCTTTAATGATCAGTCGGTTAATTTATCGTTTTATGTACGGATAAACAGCAGTATCTTCTTTCTTCTCTAAAAACTGTCCTAAATTACGCGAACTTTGTACAAAAGTTTACAGAATAAATCGTAAAACATCTAAAAAGCTTCAACTGATATTTATTGGGCGTACATCACTGTATTATTTGTACGAAGAGATAGCAAAAGTTTATTTGTATGAATATCCCTATCATCATAATAAGATCGTTAGTCCTAAGACTGGTTGGACATGCACCGCCACTCTTTCCTATCCCTAGCTAATCTTCCCATTTCCCTAAAACAACCCACATCCTTAACTATTTGCGAATAGTAATCTAATCTAGGTCTACCTCTACTTCTCTTAATTTCTGTTTCTGCCTCTAACATGTCTCTGACTACATGCTTGAGAAGGTGTCCTACCATCCTATCTCGCCTATTTTTATTAACTTCCATAGTCCTAAATATGAAGATTGGAAAAACTTTGGCGGTTGTTGTAGAACAAACAGAATAGCTCAAAACCCCAACGCCAAAACAAGACACTGTAGTTGTCCGAAGCAGTCAGTTTACTTCAGTCCCTGAAGAAGGTAACTTTGTTACCGAAAAGTGCTTCGGACAACTACAGTGTCTTGTTTTGGCGTTGGGGTTTTGAGCTATTCTGTTTGTTCTATTCCATAGTCCTCTATTCTCCTATTCTTTCTGATACCTCTTCAATCGCCTGTAACACCATATTGCGAAAGCTTCTAATCTTTTCTTTTCCGCCACACCTACTGTCCATGTTTCGAACCCGTTCTAACCGTTCGCGAGCACAAGTGACTTCTTTTTATTGAAGGCGACTCGACCCTACGCTGTCTTCTACTTTATATCCCTACCACTTCTTCCGTCTTGATTTATCTTACTTCCCATATACCTAAAATCAGCCACTTCTCCTAATTTTTTTTATCTTTATATGCGCTCTTTCGTATTTTTCCAACACCTCCTTTATTAAATCCTGATAAGTAAATTATGACGTTAGCTCGTTAGAAACGGACGGCAAACACAGATATTCGAACAATACCAAAACGAGCAATTGTTTGAAAAAACACCGCGGATCTGAATAAAAATTAAACATATATTTTACCATGAAGACTAAAAGTAACGAAATATTGTGATTTCCTCACCACCCTTGGGGTATCACAGTTGGCGCGTTGACCTATTATGATGGGGGTCTCGCCAGTAGCCCTACTCCCATGTCTTGTAATGAAAAATGGATGAAAAACTGTACAAAATCTTTAATAAACTTCCTTAAAGTTTAATACTGAAAATGTCGGGGAAAAACCAATGAAAACTTTTGTTAATAAATAATTAAATAAAGGAGATGTTGATTTTTCAGAATATCCGCAATTTTCGGGTCTCAATTCGTCTATATAACAGAAATTAGGAAATTCAGCGATCGAAATTTTTCTTTTAAACGGAATTGAATTTTGTTTCTTGTCATTCGCCTTTTGAATTTACAGTCAATTAAAAACATTTTAAATTTAAAATTGGTGATGCACTATCGATAAATATTTACAAATGAGCAATTGTTTGTAATAAGGTTTCTTCCCGAATCTCCTCTATGGTTTATTTCAAGACAAATGAAAGATAAGGGACGAGAAATATTGCAAGCCCTTAAAGACCCTGTCAAGCAAGAAGAATTGCTTCTAGAACACATGAACGAAAAAGTGTTCAAGTCTGATACTTTTCAGAACGACTATAGAAAATTAAGGCTATTTTTTAAACCCGGAATTTGGCTTCTGATATTATTGGGTGCTATTACAGGAAGCGTTTACTTTAAAGGAATTTTTGGTAAGTATAAAATAGGTTTCTGAAATTCTGAAGCTAAATAATTAACTGACATACTCAATCGTTTTCGTTGTGAAAATTAAGAATTTCCTTCATTTTATTTTAAAAACTTCATGGCAAGTTTGCTTATGAAGTTGTCTACTGTGAAACAACATTTTAATTAAAACGAATACCAAGCCTTGTTTAAATCTTAAGACAAAGACTATGCTCGTTACATTTGATAATGAGAAAACTTGCTTGTATTGTGCTGTTTCATATTCGCTCAGTTCATTTTACTGTTCTTTCGTCATTTTCTTTAACTGGCCTCTCACTCGCAAACATTTCGCAGTTTCCTTTGAAACTTTCAACTTGTTAGAAACTAGTTAAATATTTTTACGTCTTATTTATAATTGTGAAAAAGCGCTTAGTAGTGCCATTATAGTCGAAACTCTAGACACACTTCTATTGATGAAAAACCAAAATAAGACAATTAGAGAACCATCAGAAGAGTTATTTCTAACTCAGCCCGAACAACATTTCAAAAAATGAAATCACTTTTCTGCAATGATAAACTCAACCTAAAACTACGACAGAGAATGGCAAGATCCTATCCATGGGTTGTGTTAGTATACAGGACAGAGACCTGGACAATTAAAGACGCCTGAAAGCATTCGAATGTTGCGTAAGTTGTTAATATAGGGACATTTTATAACTAGAATATTTCTAGTGTATATTTGTATAACAAAACATGCTGGCAGCAGTATGGATATCGAAAGATTAAAAGTAGAAATGTTGGCAGCAGTGGCAGTTCGTCATGTAGAATTTCCCAGACGTTTGTACACTGCGAAAAGGATTTTGGAATGCGGCAGAAGCTTCTCAGTGTTTTTGCCTTGAAACCGGACGAATGCTTGTACAATGGCTGTAGTTTGAGTGAGTAATGGCGGCATAGTGTTGTCAGAAATCGAAAGCAACAGCACGTGGCGTTATAGACAACCGCGCGACTGCGTGAATACTGGAAGTGCCGCGAAGGAAATGGTAAAGTTAATACGTTTGGTCGATGAAACTGATCTTAAAGGTATTTCTGGATGTAAGAATCTAAACAGCAATCATATAAAATGGGGAATAAGTGATTATTTTTAATTGAGTTCGTATTTGTAAACTTGGAAGTGTGCTTCGTGTAATAGTATATCAGATCAAGATTCATATCAGTATGGATACTACAAAAGGCAAAACAGAGAGGGAGCTTTGGAAGTTTACCATATCATATTCAGAATGCCATTGAATACGAGATTTGAAACAATTGACAAGAGCCATTATCATTAATAGAACTTTAATTTGGAAACTTAGAAGAAGAAGTGTGCTTCGTCTTCTAGTAGCTAACGTAGGGCAAGGTTCGCCACTCCTTGTGGTATCAACTATCCTCCACCGGGATCGTGGAAGAGTGCTACCCGCTACCCTCCACTAATGTATGTAAGTTTATGATTTAAAATTTAAATATGTTTCCATTCTGCCATCTTCTTCCTCTGCTGTCTCCTCTTTCCAAAGTTTTGTAAATTATACAACCGAATAATCCGAATCCCGACTACTTGGCAAAGCCGAATAGGTATCGGTATGTAGAATATTCTCCTAGATCGTGAAGCTGATATCGCATAGGGAACGTAAACATTTATTCTTTGGCGGAATGCCAGATGGTAGAAATACAGAAGAATTGACCGAAACCCGAATAACTGGCTAAATTTTTGCGGAATGATAGGTTGAAGTTCCGATAAAGCCGAATTACTGTCGGTACTTGAATAACTTCTCTTAACCCGTGCAACCGAAATCCCGTGGAGATCGTATATTCACATTCCTCGGCTTAATGCCGATTGGTAGAAATGGAGTAGAATAGACAGAAAACCGGACACCCGAGAAGGCTGAATTTGTACAAAATAATTGATTGGAATTTCGACCAAGTCGAATGGCTGTCGGCTCATTAATAAGCATTCCTGGATCGTGCACCGGAAATCTTGTGGGGAAACGTATATTTATATTCTACGGCAGAATCTTCGGCGGAATGCCGGATGGTACAAATACAGTAGAATAGACAAAAACTGGATACCCGGAAGGAATGAATTTATTCACGGTAGTTGATTGAAATTTCGAAGGGCTGCGGTTCAATAATAAGCTTTCTTAACTCGTGCACCGGAAATTTGTAGGGAACGTATGTTATTATTCTTCGGCGGAATACCGGATAACAGGAATAGAGTAAAATAAACCGAAAATTGAATACCCGACTTTACTTTTACAGAATAATAGTTAGATTGATCATGAACTGGCTCGCATGGCGTGATATTATCGATTTCGATGGTCTGCATGATTGGTTTCCTTGCGCGAGTTGTTTCAGCGTAGTGTTTCCTTCCATGGGGGTAGGAGACTGGGTGGGAATTAATGTGGAAGTTGGTAGGAGCAAGGAACAGTGGACCTGATCTCTTCCGAAGATTGGATTGGAAGATGAATCAGTAGCTAACGTAGGGCAAGGTTCGCCACCCCTTGTGGTATCAACCATCCTCCACCGGGGTCGTGGAGGAGTGCTACCCGCTACCCTCCACTAATGTATGTAAGTTTATGATTTAAAATTTAAATATGTATTCCTTCTGCCATCTTCTTCCTTTGCTGTCTCCTCGTTCTATCGTTTTGTTAATACAACCGAATAATCCGAATCCCGAATACTTGGCAAAGCCGAATAGGCATCGGAATGTAAAATATTCTCCTAGATCTTGAAGTCGATATCTCGCAGGGAACGTCCAAATTTATTCTTCGGCGGAATATCAGATGGTAGAAATACAGAAGAATTGACCGAAAATCGAATAACTGACTGAATTTCTGCGGAATGATCGGTTGAAGTTTCAACAAAGCTGAATATCTGTCGGTACATGAATAACATCTTTTAACCCGTGCACCCGAAATCCCGTGGAGAACGTATATTCACATTCTTCGGCTTACTGCCGGATGGTAGAAATGCAGTAGAACAGACCGAAATTAGGATGCCCGGGAAGGCTGAATTTGTACAGAACAATTGATAGGAATTTCGACCAAGTCGAATGGCTGTCGATTCATTTATAAGCATTCTTAACTCCTGGACCGAAAATCTTGTGGAAAACGTATATTTATATTCTTAGGCAGAATCTTCGGCGGAATGTCAATTCGTAGAAATACAGTAGAATAGACAGAAAACCGGATACCCGGGAAGGCTGAATTTGTACAGAGTAGTTGATTGAAATTTGGAATGGCTGCGGTTCAATAATAAGATTTCTTAACACTTGCACCGGAAATTTGTGGGAAACGTATATTTATATACTTCGGCGGAGTACCGAATAATAGGAAAATAGTCAAATAGATCGAAAATTGAAGACCCGACTTAATTTTTACAGAATAATAGGTAGATTAATTAGGAACCGGCTCGCATGGCGCGATATTATCGATTTCGATGGTATGCATGATTGGTTTCCTTGGGGCGAGATATTCCAACGTAGTGTTTCCTTCCATGGGGGTAGTGGACTGGGTGGGAATTAATGTGGAGGTGAGTAGGAGCAAAGGATAGTGGGCCTGATCTCTTCCGGAGATTGGACTGGAAGAAGAACCAGTAGCTAACGTAGGGCAAGGTTCGCTACCCCTTGTGGTATCAAACATCCTCCACCGGGGTCGTGGAGGAGTGCTACCCGCTACCCTCCACTAATGTAAATAAGGTTATGATTTAAATATAATGTTCTTCTTCTGCCATCTTTTTCCTCTGCCGTCTCCTCCATCTACCGTTTTGTGAATACTACTGAATAGCCTGAATCCCGAATAATTGGCAAAGCCGAACAGGTATGGGTATGAGAATAGCTGGTGAAACCGATATCTCACAGGGAATGTACATACTTATTCTTCTGCGGAATGCCGGATGGTAGAAATACAGTAGAATCGACCGAAAATCGAATAACTGGCTGAATTTTTGCGGAATGATCAGTTGAAGTTTCGACAAAGCCGAATAACAGTTAGTACTTCTCTTAAAACGTGCATCCGAAATCCCGTGGAGAACGTATATTCGCATTCTTCGGCTTACTGCCGGATAGTAGAAATGCAGTAGAATAGACCGAAAACCGGATACCCGAGAGGCTGAATTTGTACAGGATATTTGATTGGAATTTCGACCAAGTCGGATGGCTGACGGTTCATTAATAAGCATTCTTAACTCATGGACAGAAAATCTTGTGGAAAACGTATATTTATATTCTTCGGCAGAATCTTCGGCGAAATTCCGAATGGTAAAAAAACAGTAGAATAGACAAAAAACCGGATACCCGGGATGGTTGAATTTGTACAGAGTAGTTGATTGAATTTTCGAAGGGCTGCGTTTGAATAATAAGATTTCTTAACTCGTGCACTAGAAATTTGTGGGGAACGTATATTTATATTCTTCGGCGGAATGCCGGATAATAGGAATACAGTAAAATACACCGAACATTGAATGCCCGACTTAATTCTTACAGAATAATAGATAGATTGATCATGAACCGGCTCGCATGACGTGATATTATCAATTTCGATGGTTTGTATGATTGGTTTCCTTGCGCGAGTTATTTCAGCGTAGTGTTTCCTTCCATGGTGGTAGGAGACTGGGTGGGAATTAATGTGGAGGTGAGTAGGAGCAAGGAACAGTGGACCTGATCTCTTCCGAAGATTGGATTGGAAGATGAATCAGTAGCTAACGTAGGGCAAGGTTCGCCACCCCTTGTGGTATCAACTATCCTCCACCGGGATCGTGAAAGAGTGCTACCCGCTACCCTCCACTAATGTATGTAAGTTTATGATTTAAATTTTAAATATGTTTTCCTTCGGCCGTCTTCTTCCTCTGCTGTCTCCTCCTGCTACCGTTTTGTAAATACAACCGAAAAACCCGAATCCCGAATACTTGTCAAAGCCGAATAGGTATCGGTATGTAGAATATTCTCCTAGCTCGTGAAGCCGATATCTAACAGGGAACGGCAATGATTGAAGGTAGA